GCAGGGCGAGTCATAAGATGCGGCAGGAGTTGCTCTGGTACCTGACAGGGTCCGTCAGTCAGTCGACCCTTTGCAGCACACCACACCGTCAGCCACAGCACGCGGGACACTTGCAAGATCGGGACGGGAGGGTGGCGGCGTGCAAGCTGAAGGTACGATGCAAGGCGGTGATGAGAAGGACTTACCATCGTTGCGACTCGATGCGCCGGATCCACGACGCGGTGATCTTCAGCCGCTCGCGCACGGTCGTCGTGCCCATGAGCTTGTACTTCTCCTCGTCGGAGATGGGCAGCACGCTGGCGAACCAGTAAGCGAAGAGCGCCGCGTCTTCGGGCGGCTGGCCATGGACGTCCAAGACCCGCTGCTGCAGCCACGGCGCACTCCGGGCCCGCATGCGGGCGATGAATTCCTGGCCCAGCGCGAGGAGCGAGGTCGTGGGCATGCGATCGATCTGACCCGCGATATCCTCCTCGCCGGCCGGTGACCGCGAGATCTCCGTCGACTCGATCCGCTCCTCCTCGGCGATCAGGACGTCTTCGAGGCGCTCGACGTTCGCGACCGCATAGCCGTCCAGGACGCCGTGCGCGCGGACTCGGAAGCGATACATGCCGCGCGTCTCGACGAGGCTGGTCCCGTCCGGTAGGACCTGGCAGTGCATGATCCGCAGCATCGTGCCGTAGTGATAGAAGTGCACGGGTCCGAGTTCGCCCTGCGGCTCGTAGTAGCGGTTGTACATGAGCATGCCGAACTCCCTGTTGCCCTCGGCGCAACGCCGCAGCATCAGTCGATAGCGCGGCTCGAAGATGCGGAGGAAGGTCGGCTGGTGCGGAAATCCGAGGGTGCAGATGAACAGAGGCACGTCCAATTCACCTTCGCCGGGCCGTTCTTCTTGGGCCACCGTATCTGCGCGCGTAGCTACCGAGTCAGGGCAGAGGCCGTTTAGTAGCTCGACGATGGTGGCGTTGCTCGGCTGCGCTTGCAGCGACGGTGGTAGCGCAAGGCCGCGGCGGCAGACCGGGCAATGGAGTGAATGATCCAGTGTTCTCGCGAGACATTTCCGGCAAAGGGTATGGCCGCATGGAGTCGTGACCGGGTCCAGCATGAGGTTGTAACACACTTGGCAGTCGACTTCTCGGTAAGTCGACTCGAGAAGCTCCGCCAGCACGCTGACATCCTGTGCCTTGTCACTATCTGCCAGCGTCGATGTACTCGAGTACTCCAGATCCACATAGTAGCTCAGCATGCCCTGCGCAGCCAAGGTGTATGTGGCGACCAGCCTACCTCCGGGGATTTCGTGATGGGTCGCCTTCTCCGCGGCGGGCGCGAGACTGACCCCCTCGTCCCACCGCATCACCTCTTCCATCATCGTCGGCGCACTGCTGGCCACGGACGCGTGCTTCGTAACGACCTCCGCGATCGACTCCATCACTTTCGTCAACGTGACATCGATGCTGCAATCGGAAGCCGGGTGTTCCAGGCCGCAGTCCGGGTACGGACATGGAAACGCTTGTTTCCGTCCTGGGATATCCGGATAGGTAATGTTCTCTCGCAGATGCGTCTGCGGGAGGCAATCTCTGCACATCGACCGACCGCAGGGCAGCGTCACCGGCGTCCGATATGGCCGGGAGCACTGCGGGCACTGCACGAGGCGCACGAGCGCGCGGGCATCGTCGTGCGCGTCGAGGCCCGCGGCCGCGTGGTCCTCCGTCATGGCCGCATCGTGGCTCATGAAGTCTGCTGGCGCAGCCCCAGGCAGCCCAGGCTGGACTGACCCGGGCGAGCTGCGACTGAAGGATGATGCAGCCGGCCGCGGCGAGTTCATAGATCCGCTCTGGGTCGGCACCGCCTCCCACGTTCCATCTATTCACCCCGTGGACGGATGGCGTATTGTGTCCCCAGGTTCGCCAAGGTCACCCCAATGATATCTGTATTTGGTTCTGCTCTCGTGTTCGCCGCGTGGTAGGTCTGTTTCAAGTGTATGACGTCGATCGGACGGAAGGTTCCAGGGTCCGGATGCGCTGGGCCGGGCCCGATTGAGCGAGGTGAAGGACTAGGTAATCGTGTTGCTGGTCAGTGACCTAGGGAATATCGTTTACTGTTCCAGATGTACTCGCGATGAATGCAGCGATCGAGGAAGCGATGGTGAGGGAGTGGGAAGGCAGCGAATGCACGGAGCGATCATCACTCGGGTAAGCAGGGGTCTGACGGGCCGCGAGTGAACGACGACAGCATTTTAGGTGACGACGACGAGCGCGGGAAGCCGCCCCAGAGCCTGGAAACTAGAGCCTGGTGAACGGCTGGCACGCGCCATCTCCGGGCCCTGCCTTGCGGTGATGATCCTGAGGTTGCGGTCGCATGGTCGAGATCTCGGTGGGACCGTAGATCTTCAGGCCGAGCATCTGGCACGCAGATCGACCCTACCGTCCCAGTTGACTGTTCACCCGGCGTTTGGAAAGTATGCATCAGGCCTTCCACCTATAGATTGGCTCTGTTGTCGATCTCCGGATTGTTTCTACTTAGAGCAGATCGGGCGAATCAATTGAGTTGAACAGAATGGTGCGAACAGTCACCAGATGCACGACGCGGGGAGGTTCCGCTTCTCGATCACGGCTGAGCCCATACTCTCGGAGGTATGAGACCGCGTGCACCGAAACAATGGGTAGAAGATGGCCTAGCAGTATGAGGAAGAGTAGATGGACCGGGATGACCAAGGTGGGACTCGTCTGACTACTCCCGTCCGGCATTTCAAGCCCTGGCCGCCTGCCGCCTGTGCTACGCCTCAGCACCATCGCCCATTGATCCCACGCCCCTTAGGCATCATAGTTCCAGCTCGCAAACGTAGCCTCTACTCCGGACCGTTCGTCCGCGTCTCGGTCCTAGACGGCCCTCGCGTCGCCTTCGAAGTAGATGTGGATGGCACCTGCGAGCCCAGTCAGTGAGAATCGATGCCATCGATTGCCTACGGGATCCCACGCACCCGACAAGTCATCCAGATCGTCCGCCGCGACCCCGTCGCTCCCCATTTGCTCGTCGCGATCGCCGACCGCAATTCCGGCGTCCTGCCCCTCGATCTCCGAAGCTGGCTCGGGCGTCGGTGCTCTCCCGATCCGACGGCCCATGCAGTAGAAGAAGCGCTTTCTGCCGTCGCGTAGGCCCTTCGTGTGGTCCACGATCGCGTTGTACCTCTGCGGCTCGGGAGCCTTCGCGGCGTCCGGGGCGGGGTGAGACGCCTGCGGCGCCTAGAAGCCGTCAGTCGTTTGCGGATGCAGTAGCCTTCGATGGCGACGATTCAACTCACTTCCTTGTTGACCGTAGGCTTGTACGTCAGGTTCTGATCTGGGCTCGTCCCGGCGGATGTCTTCTCCTCGGCTTCGTCCTTGGAAGGCGGGACGTAATCCGCGTCGGCCTGCACACGTTCAGTATCGTACAAATCTCCTGAGGCGGATATCGATGGCATCGACTTGGACTCACGTCTTCAGCGGTGCGCCTCGTGACCCTGATTTTGGGTTTCACGACACGGCCCGAAATGGTACGGCCTGTGCCGATGAAGCTGCTGCCCGGCTTGGATTTGGGAGGCATGATGGACGCTTGTGTTGTTGAGTGAGAGTGGAAGAGTGAAGAAGTGTTGATGAAGTTTGAGGAAAGTTGTGTAGTTGATTGAGGATGAAGGAGTGGAAGAGAATAGGCGGCGTGTGCGTGGGCTTTCGAACGGGGTAGAGTGAGGCACGGCGTCACATGCTGAGCTCACTCGACCGAGTGGTGAGTGATGGAGAAGTGATAGAGGATGACACGCCAAGTGAGCTCATACTCGTCTGAAGTGAATGCCGCAATGCCTCACATGCCAGGCTCACTCGCCGACCTCTGAAGATGCAAAGCGGGATGAGTAATGCAGGATCACGGCGCCGAGTGAGCTATCTCGTGGTTGTAGAGTAGGCCTTGTGGTGAGCCAGTGTGGGATCGCCGGCTATGGAAGGAGCATGGCCATGCGAAGCTGTGCCGGAAGTCTCTTTGCATAGCGGTAAGAAGCAGATGCCAAAGAAGACCGAGGCTCGTTATGCGTCCAACTCGGTTTCCGAGGTCTCTTCGATCACTTGGAAGCCTCTTGGAAGGCCATTGGGGTCGTATAATCCGGTGTAACATCCTACGAAAGCACTAGCTGTGTAGAGCAGCTGTGCCCGCAATGCTCTAGACAATAGCCTTCGACATCGGACATCGTCGACTTCAGATCATCTCCATCCTCAGCTTCTGTGAGAGCGACGACAAGCCTCGCGTAGAGTGCCGATGTGATAATATTGTCGATATTATTCCCATGGTCCGGTGGCTAGGCTCACATCTCGCCAACTGCGGTGAGCAGATGTTGCGCGGCCGCTCGCCATGCGTTCAAGCTTGGATTTCAAACACGGCAGCGGATATGACCTCGAGTTGCCATGCCAATGGCAACGTACTTCCGTAACCAATAGGTATGAGGGAAAGCGATGTCATCAATGTTTAGATGCGAGTGGTGCGAAGTCGAGGTGCAAAGGCCGGGGTGCAGGCGAAAGGAGGTCTTGGCAGGCCGAATCGGGAAATCTTGGACTCCGACTGAAAACCACCGACTACGCCTCAAGCGACATGTACCAATTTTGAGCCAGAACGCCTAGTATAGAACTGTAACATTGTAGTCTGTCGATAGTCAGTCATATGTATCGACAGACGGAGTTTGAATCCAATCGGAGGCGAGTCCACGGAGCATTGAACGATCGTAAAGTGACCAAACACACTAAATAATACCGGTCGAATTCCGTCGACCCCATTGCAGGTATCGGCGGCGCCCCACCTCTTACGGTCTAGACTGACTGCTCAAAACTCCGCCGGGGGTTCCAAAGCTGGCAATCTTGGCCAATCCCCGCACCAACAAAATGCATAACGATCCAACTGCATGGAAATCGTTTCCTGGACATCGTACACCACGATAGGACCCAAAACAATGATGAAACAACAGCCCGCGCACGGCTGCGGTCTGCGCCCATACGGAGTTGAACCGTAGACCTCGGCATCCCGGGATACTAGTGCCGCGCTCTACCAACTGAGCTATGAGCGCGATGTACGGATAAGAAAATTGAGCGTATATATTGACTTATCCATTTTTCTTGAGCTTTGCCAGCCGCATCCCTGCTCCATGAAGGTCGGATACGTCGTTCTGCAGCAGCACGACACTTCAGAAGTGCTCACAGTCGTGCAGTATGAGCCGCTACTTACCCTACAGCGATGAACGAGCGTATCCGTCCGAAACCTGAAGCTTTTCCAACGTGGGCGATCAAACTAGTTGTGGCCTTCTCCGTATTGAAGTCGGGTCTGCAGCAACTACAAGCAGAGCGAGGAGGTCGACGATACCATCCTGGAAGCGAGATCTTATCCCCTCGGTACGTCTGAGAGTGCCATCGTCCAACGCCGAATGGACTGAAGCACGATTCTAGAGAGATACGGCAGAAGAGCGACCTCAGCCATGCGCAGTCCGCGTATGATGTGGGAGGGACTCCTTTCGATGAGGCGACTTGTACCACAAGCACGGGGGAGAGGTAGTAGGGACTGATCCATAATGGGCATGATCCGCTACTGGTCCACGGGGAGTCCTCTAGAATCCTCGAGGAGGGGCCGTCCGGGCTCTCACAGGCGTAGCTTGGACTGAGTTCCTTCTGCTCGGCCAAGGCGCAGCAGCATGACCAAGATCGGATCCAGGAGAACCCGTCCTCCAAGCTAACGCAGAAGCCTCCTAGCAGCTGGACATATTCGCCCTAGCCTGCGCCCACCGCTGGGTCAATACCTCCCACGGCGCGAACGCCGCGCAAGCACCATACACCTGGCATCCGTCCGCAAGAGATGCAACCACAGATCGTCGATCGCATGCCGCAAGTCCCGTAAAAGCACTCGTGTTCGGGTGGCAGTCCGTCGCATGTCGATTGGACTTCGGTCGGCACGGCGGCGTGACAAAGGCGCTCGTAAGCGCGCTGCAGCTGCCCCAAGCCGCCACGTGGAAGCCAACGATGTTGCGGACCGAGATAGTGGGTCGGAGATCTAGCGTCGGGACGGCGGGCGCTTCGTGATGCAGCTGATACGCTGCTGGTGTCCTCTTGGCTTGTGTCGCCGCGCATCTATCGCAGTGTGCTCTGCGGGTAATCCACGTGTGGCCGACGACATCCGGGACCGCGATCCGGCCTCATCCGCTCGCAGGTGGGGCTGCAGATGTGCTTCGCGTTGATCGATGGAGTGATGTTGGCGCAAACTTGGTGATGCACATTGCCCATTTCGATGTGCAGACCCAGACAGCGTTGCCTGTCCCGTGATTGCGATCCGTACGGTACGATTGCGGAGCCACGCTTCTTACACGGATGGTGTGCGGTGAGCAGCCATGCGCTAACCATACCTCTGGCAATGCGCAAAGTGTCGCGAGCGCCGTTGAGGCAACGTTGCTTCTGCGCGAGATCGAAGCAAATTCGCCGCATCTGGGAAGGGCCCACACGATCCAACTGGACAAGCCGTCCTTCACCCAGCCGGAACCCTCGAGGAGTTCCTCGCGCCCGGCTTAGTTCAATGAAGACCATCCAGGATACGATAGCAGCCAGTCCCAGCACCCTAGTCTTACAGGCCAGCCGTGCGACGGGTCCCAAGGATGGCGGCAGACGATCCGGCAAGCAGGAATGCCACGTTCCCCCATGCCTGATGCCCCACAGGACGTCTCTGGCTCCGTTCGCTGACGTGAGGGTCATCCTATGTCGTCTCCCACCAGGTGGGTCCGGAGAACGATGAGTCCTCCTTCGAAGTCCCCGCCGTCGGCTCAGTCAGCTGACTCCGAGTGATCTCCGTGGTGGGAAGGTCCCCTGCGTACCGCCATGGCGTTGTAATGAGGGTCGATTCCTGATGATGCTCGCCGAGTGTCTGACGCCAGCGCAGAGATGGCTGTCCTGCGATGTTCATGGGCTGCCGTGTCCGTGGGGTGGTTCCTCGAAGCTGAGTCCCCGTGGCGCCCTTACATCCCAATCCGCTCGTCCACTCGGTCCTGAATGGTCTCGAGGTTGAGCTCGCCACACCACTCTCCCGCAGGCGCTCCTATCCGTGAGCTCGTCCAGGAAGCAG